TTTATGGTCATTGGTCACTGCACTTTCATTCATGTAAAAATATTCAAGGACTTCAGAGGGGAATATGTGCAGAGAGATAATTATGATATGTGTACTTCTGTGATTTTGGTTCATAGGGGGAATATGATAGGAACTGTTAGCTGCCACCCAATATTCATTCTTTTTTTTCATAGAAACAAAACTCTGATTATACTGGGAAAGCAATGTGCACCATTAAAACAGAAACAAACATACAAAATCTACATTTTGTAGCCTACCTTGCAATTAAGTGTAACAAGATGACTAAGCTCTAGCCAATAGTTTATTTAAAAAAGAAAGGATTTGAAAGGGACCTTCTGGAAGTTTCCTTTAAAGTGTAAAGAACGTTGGCTTCATTTTCTCTTTATTCCTACTGCCTGGAATGTAAAAGTCATTGTGAGAGCTACATAAGCCATATTTTTGACCTTGGTAATAATGAGAGCCAGAAGCCAAGAAAAGTGAAGCTGAAAGACAGAGTGTCTGATTCCCTGGTGACTTTGTGAAGCTGTCGTAACACTGCTAGATTGCCGATTTGCAGACTCTCTTTATGGAGACAGTAAACTCCCAATTTGCTTTAACTGCCACAATCAAGTCTCAGAATATGAGAAAGGTACATTAGACTCACTTTGTAAAAAAAAGTTGTTTGTGGATCACTGTTTCAGCTATTTTTTAAAAATTGCCTCCAACATATTTTCACTGGATGGACCCATCTACTTCTCTTTCATACCTCTTCCCTAAGTTCCAGAACCAAAGACCCAACTTCTCCTAAACCTTTCTCCTTGGTTGCCCTTTAGTCACTTAAATTCAACAAGCAAGGCCAGGTGTAGTGGCTCATGCCTGTAATCCCAGCACTTTGGAAGGACGAGGTGGGTGAATAACCTAAGGTCAGGAATTCGAGACCATCCTGACCAACAAGGTGAAATCTCATCTCTACTAAAAATACAAAAATAAGCCAGGCGTGGTGGCAGGCACCTGTATTCCCAGCTATTTGGGAGGCTGAGACAGGAGAATTGTTTAAAGCCTGGAGGCAGAGGTTGCAGTGAGCTGAGATCATGCCACTGCACTCCAGCCTGGGTGATGAATGAGACTCCGTCTCAAAAAACAAAAAAATAAATTTAACAAGCAAAACCTGAATGAGTTTCCATACTCACCATAACATGGTCTTCCTTCTATATATACTGTTTAGTTAACAATGCCATTGGTGGCTAAGTAAGCAATTTAACCCCAAAACCTTTCTGAAATTCTTTCTTCTTTTTCACCCTTAACACCCAATAGATAATTGACTCTAAACATGTTTCCCTCAGAATTGTTCCTTGTATACATAGTCTCCTTTTCATTCTCATCAATGTTACCTTAAATAAGTTCTCACTGTTTCTCTTAAACTAATTTTTAAGTCATTCCTAAATAGGCCTCAATCTTCCAGTCCCTTATCTTTCTAATTTACCACTGCCCTGCCTAAAAAAGTTAATTTTGAAATACACAGATTTCTTAAAGCCCATCTCAAACTAAGAAATTGTTGATTACTCGCAGTTGCCTACAGGGTAAAGTTAAATTATAAATGATCCTTTTAAAACATTCCCAGTTTCCTTTACAAACTTGTGCTCTACTTGCCCACTCACCCTTACTCCACAACACACATCAAAAGTACCAAGTAAAGTTGTGTTCAGACATGTTAGACTGTCTGCCATGTCCATAACTTTCCATGCCCCCCCACCTCAAATCCTTTCCCTCTTCTCCTCCTGTAAGTACACATTTGTCTGATACTTATTAATCAAGGCCCAAAGTAGGTTTGAACCACTTATGAAGCTTTATCTTGCCTGCTCTGCATATCAAATAAATTATTTCCTCACATGCTATACCATGTACATTTGTACATACCAATTTTGTATGGTTTATTACATTGTTCTGGAGTCTTTTTTGTATATTCAAGTATATTTTATATTTCTTTTTTAAAATGTATTTCAGTATCTTAAGGGAGTTACCAAATAATCATCTTTATATCCCTCAGATGTCCTACTATGCCTTTCCCAGAGAGGGGCTAAATTCATAGTAATTGATTTAAACAAACTATATATATTTATTTTCCATACAGGTAAAACATGCAACTTCAAGATGGGTGCTTGCAATATAGATGTAAGAATGATTGGGGAATAATTTTAATTAAATGGTGTATTATGAGAATATCTTTCAGAATTATTATTAATATGAATTCATCTTCGTTATCCTAAACCTTCATACCTCAGACCCACAACAGAATGTACTGCCGATTCACTCTAGAAATGCATTCCATTTGTACTTCTTATTTTTAACCAACTGTGTTTGGTAAAGAAAAGTTTCATGAACACAATCTTGGGATGCCAGCTTTATTTAGTAAACTTTGAATAGTATGTAATTTTGAATACCAAATTTCTGTAATTTTTAATGTCTCCCTGCTTTGGAATCATGCTTGTCATTCTTCAAGGGATCTTATAGAAAAATGATAACTTAGATTAGACCGTCTTCTGAATTTGAAGAATAAAAAAACAAGACAAGAACTCAGGGTCACTGAGAGATTAAAGTAAATGTGCTTTGGCACACGTAAATGAAATGTTTTCAGAAAGCTTTCTAGGATCTACCTATAAACAGATGGCAGTAAGATATGCAAAAGGGGGCATGCTCTCTTTTTTCAGATTTATTTTTTTCTAATGGGAAATAGTGAGTGAGATGATGACAAATAGTTTTGGATTTGTAATGCTATTCCTCATTTTATATAATGACTCAGCTTTTAAATTGTAAATCATGGATTCTAAATAGCTGCTGCCTAATCTATCTGTAATATATGTAAAGTTTAGGAATTTGAATCATCATACCAAACAGGAAAGAATGCAAACTGAGTTTATATATAGAAGGGAAATTGTATTTTGGAAGGATAATTATCACCAATAAATTTTAACAGCTATTTAGAGGCTAAAGTTCTACCAAAGATTTTTTGAAAGTTTAGCTTCAGACAATATGAAAAAAAATAAAATTATATGAAATTTAGACCTTATAAAGCATAAACAGTGTGTGAAAATGACAACAGTAAATAGAAGAAAGAGTTTATCCTCCCAATAAATATACCTTTTTTTTTTCTTACATATTTAAGGTAGTATCATGTTAAATGAGAAAATGAAGACTAGATGTTTAATAAGCCAAAAGGAACATAGAGTAGTTATATATACACACACACACGTTAATACATATGCATTTATATACACATGCATGCTGTGTTTGTCTATATGTATGCATATGTGTCTGTACACACACGTTCCTGGTTTTATGGCTTGTGACTAAGTAAAATGCCTTTTTCTTGAAAAGTGGTAGGGCAGTAGTAATATACTCGTGTTTATGCAGAACTTTTGATGAAACCTGAATATCAAAGACACTAAATTTGTTTCCTCTTTAACAACCACTGGTATAAAAAGCTAGAAAGCAATACCATCTTATAATTTCCAAATAGTCACTATTGACTTGTGTTCTTCAGTTTTATCACAGATTCAGTGTTGTCTCCCTGAACAGAGGAAGCACAGACCTTTGAAGGTGAACTCAGCTCTGACATTTACTAGTATGACACTAGGGAAGCTATATAAACCTTCTTAATTTTATTTCTTTATATATTAAAAAAAAACAGAACAAGTAAGTGATCCATCTGGCATGTTACTGTGAAGACTGACATAAAATATAGGCAAGAGATAAACGGTCACTGTTTGTTTCCTCCCCTCTACATTGGTTTTTCTGTCTTGCTCCGTCACCCAGGCTGCAGTTGCAGTGGCGCAGTCGTTGCTCACTGCAACCTCTGCCTCCTGGGTTCAAGCAATCTAATGTCTCAAACTCCGGAGTAGCTTGGATTACAGGCATGTGCCACCGCACCCAGCTAATTTTTGTATTTTTAGTAGAGACAGGGTTTCACCATGTTGGCCAGGCTGGTCTCGAACTCCTGACCTCAAGTGATCCGGCCGCCTCGGCCTTCCAAAGTGTTGAGAAAATAGATGTAATAGATGTGAACCACTGTGACTGGTCCCACCCCTCTACTTTCGATGGCTCTTTTCTTGTGATTTTGTAATTATGTCCTCTTTCAGAACATTAACTCATTGAGGGAATGTCCAATGCTGGGATATAGAAGCTCTGTATGTTACATACACACACACACACACACACACACACACACACACACACACATAAGTAAACTACTATAATTAAGAAAAATTTTCTCAAAAAAATAAATTTTCAGACTATTCATAATGTTTCATTGAAACTTAAATTTATAATCTTGGTCCATGTCCTTCTCGAAGTCACCGATAACTGAATCCAATATAGATATCAAATATTATTTTATTACCATTTCTTCTCCAGAGAAATGATCTATTGCTTTTAAAAGATGAGTAGAAAAGTTATACATTAGTTCTACCATGGTAATTTTATAGCAGCTTAAAACTCAGGGCCACCAAAGAATTTATGAAAATTCCTCTAAATCTATAAAGTTCTATCATACTCCATTTCTGAAAGTATATATGGAATGAAAAACCTCAAGAAATGAACATCTTTGTTATAAAAAGAAATAGGGGGAAAATGAAATATCAATTAATAGCAGTGAAGCAACCATCTTATTAATTTGCTATTCCACATGCATTTCTTTTCAAAAATTCAGGATTTATTTTGGAGTTCTGTTTGTACACATTCTGAAGTCATGCTCTAAATTAACATGGATTTCTCATCCAAAAGGCTTAGAAAACCTGATTTACTCTTTAATCTCTGAAGTAAATAAAAACAACATTTTTAACCTTTCTTTAAGAAATCTGCCAAGATTTCTTGCTAGTTTAAATACATGTGCTTTTAATAAAAACTCCAATTTAGTTTTTCTAAACTGATTTTACCTAAAAGATTTGGTGATGTAAGCAAAAGTGTAGTTACTCTGTATCAAGCATCTTCCACCTGTGATCATGGAAGTGCTAGGCAGTACTCACAGCTGACATGATGAGCTCTCCTCCCAGGTTCTGGATCTCAGCTTTAACTTGACTGCAGATTTTCAGTTGGTGGGAGTAGAACTTAATCTGTTCCAGGTAGGCCAACAGGTCCTGTTTGCAAGATGGATCTGGGCACTAAATATGCATCAAAGATAAAAATGGATATAGCAGTTAGTTCAACCATTGTGGAAGACAGTGTGGCGATTCCTCAAGGCCTTAGAAATAGAAATTCCATTTGGCCCAGCAATCCCATTACTGGGTATATATCCAAAAGACCATAAATCGTTCTACTATAAGGACACATGTACACGAATGTTCATTGCAGCACTGTTTACAATAGCAAAGACCTGGAATCAACCCAAATGCCCATTGATAATAGACTGGATTGGAAAAATGTGGCACATATACACCATGGAATATTATGCAGCAATCAGAAATGATGAGTTTGTGTCGTTTGTAGGGACATGGATGAATCTGGAGAACGTCATCCTCAGCAAACTGACACAAGAACAGAAAATGAAACACCGCATATTCTCACTCATAGGTGGGTGATGAAAAATGAGAACACATGGACACAGAAAGGGGAGTACTAAACACTGGGGTCTATAGGGGGAAAAGGGGAGGGCAAGTGGGAGGGGGAGGTGGGGAGGGATAGCCTGGGGAGAAATGCCAAATGTGGGTGAAGGGGAGAAGGAAAGCAAAGCACACTGCCATGTGTGTTCCTACGCAACTGTCTTACATGCTCTGCTCATGTACCCCAAAACCTAAAATCCAATAAAAAATTAAAAAAAAAATGGATATAGCAGACTAAATAATAGCAGATCAAAGTGAGCAAATACAGTGTTAACATGGCAGGTACCTTATAAGGCAGCAACTTTATTTTCATTGAGGACCATTTCTCACGTCAAGCCCAGACACATTCTGATATGCTTCTACCATTACAATAGTTGATGTAATTTGAAACCTTAATTACTTCAGCTTAGCCAAAAGAAACATTAAAATACTTTTTAGACATGAAATGGTATATAAAATAGCTTCCTTTAATTTATGAATGTTAGAAGCCCTCAGATTATATTTTTAGGTAAATCTAAATAAGTATTTAAAATGCAATTATTTCCTTCACCTAGAGTTACTATTAGAATGCTCCTTGAGACTCATAATTCTGCACTGTCTGTCCTGTCCTACTTAAATGGATATAAAAAACATGCAGCAACACAATATGTTCTGTTATGTTCAGCCTTCAATGTTCTTAACTGTTACAGACAAAGGAAATAATTTTTACCTTATATAACAGCTGTGAATCTGACTGAAGCCAATAAACAGGCAGGGTACATTGTTTTAGAGTATTAAATTTCTTTACAAATACCAGCCTGCTACATTGTATTGTCTTTTGGAAGGAACTTCCTGGAGGACAGCTTTGAGCTTTATCATAACATGGTAAATAGCTTCAGTTAAGATTTAATCTTTGTGCTCTTTCTCCTATGAAATTATAATAGATTCATAAAAATCCCTTCTAACTTAATTCCACTTTTAGTAAATTTATGTAAGAACAAGGAAATGTGGACAGTGATTTATATGCAAAGATCTTCACTGTAGCATTATGTATAATACCAAAATTTGGAAATAACCTAAATGTCTCCAGATAATAGAAAGGCTAAGTAAGAATGCATATCAATATAATGTAGCATTATTCAGTCTCAAGAAAAAAGTTTCAAAGGATATGGAAAAATGTTTTTGGTAGTGAAAAAAATCGACGTGTAAATATTGCAATCAAATTATATTTTTTAAAATGTGAATTATATTCAGCACATGCTGAACGCTGGATGCAGTGGCTTAGTCTATAATCCCAGCAATTTGGAAAGCTGAAACAGGAGAATCGTTTGAGCCTAGGAGTTTGAGACCAGCCTGGGAAACACAGGGAGACACCATCTCTACAAAAAATAAAAATTAGCCAGATGTGGTCCCAGCTATTCAGCAGGCTGAGAAGGAGGATTGCCTGAGCCTGGGAAGTAAATGATGCAGTGAGCCATGATTGCGACACTGCATTCCAGCCTTGGCCACAGAATGAGACCTTGTGTCAACAAATACATAAATAAAATAATAAAACATGCTGGGACAGCCTGAGTTGTCCCATCTTTTCTAGGCATAGATGATGGTGCATCAGGACTCTTTGCTCCATACCGAGGCTAGAGAGGTAGACATCTAGATACCAAAAATGCAGAGAACATCTGTGAGATACTATACAAAAAGGAGCATCACCAAGGCATATAATCACCAACCTATCCAAGGTCAACTCTAAAGAAAAAAATCATAAAGGCAGCTAGAGAGAAAGGTCAGAACACACAGAAAGGGAATCCCAAAAGACTAAAAGCAGACTTCTCTGCATAAACCCTATAAACTGTGACAGATTAGGGGCCTATTTTCAGAATTCTTGAAGAAAAGAAATCCTAATGAAAAATTTCATATCCCACCAGACTAAACTTTATCACTGAAGGAGAAACAAAATATTTCTAGACAAACAAGCATTAAAAAAATGTATTAGCATTAGACCAGTCTTATCAGATATCCTTAAGGGAATTCTAAACATGGAGGAAAAAAAGAACCAATACCTGCTACTACAAAAACATAAGTACAGAGCCCACAGACCTATTGACCAACCAAACCATAGAGACTACAAAGCAATGAGCTAACAACTTCACGATAGGATCAAAATCTTTCATATTGATATTATCCTTAAATGTGAATAACCTAAATACTCCACTTAAAAGGCACAGAGTGGCAGGTTGGATAACATAACAACATCCATCCATCTTCTGTCTTCAAGATACACATCTCACACATAATGACACCTATAAGCTCAAAGTAGAGGGTTGGAGAAACAGCCCTCTCACAAATTAAGCAACAACAAAAAAGAGGAGGAGTGGCTATTAAATAAAATCTATGTATTTAAAAATATATTTAAGATATATATATAACAACATTAGATAAAATATGAATCTTAAAATATAATATATAATAATAGATAAAGCAGACTTTAAACCAACAACAGTAAAAAGGACAAGAAGGACATACATAATGATAAAGGGTTGAATTCAACAAAAAAACTTACCTATCCTAAATATGTATATGCCAAGACTGAAGCATCCAAATTCATAAAACAAGTACTTCTAGTTCTACAAAGAGGCTTAGACATTTAATAATGTTCAGGAACTTCAACACCTCACTGACAGTGTTAGATTATCAAGGCAGAAAATTAACAAAGATATTCTGGACTTAAATTTGACACTTGACCAATTGGACCTAACAGACATCTGCAGAATACTCCACCATCAACCACAGAAAGTACATTCTTCTCAACTGCACACAAAACATACTCTAAGAACAACTACTTGTTTGGCTATAAAATAAATCTCAATAATTTTTTTAAATGAAGTTATACCAACAACACTCTTGGAATAATACAATGGAATGAAAATAGAAATACCAAGAAAATGTATCAAACCACACAACTACATGAAAATTAAACAATTTGCTCCTCCATGGTTGATATGTTTTGGCTCTGTGTCCCCATCCAAAACTCATCTCAAATTGTGTAATCACATGTGTCAAGGGAGGGATCTGGTAGGAGGCGATTGGATCATGGGGGCAGTTTCTCCCATGCTGTTCTAGTAATTGTGCGGGAGTTCTCATGAGAGCTGATGATTTTTAAAGTGGCTGATTCCCCTGTGCTCTCTCTCTCCTACCTCCATGTAAAATGTGCCTTGCTTCCCCTTTGCCTTCAGCTATGATTTTAAGTTTCCTGAGACCTCTTCAACCATGTGGAATGTTAGTCAATTAAACCTTTTTTTAATATATAAATTAGCCAGTCTCAGATAGTATCTTCCTAATAGTGTGAAAATGGACTAATACATTTACTTTTGAGTAAACAATGAAATTAAGGCAGTAACCAAAAAATTCTTTGAAATAAATGAAAATAAGAGACACAGCATATAAAAATCTCTAGGATGCAGCAAAAGTGCTGTTAAGAGGAAAGTTTATAGCAGTAAACTCTTACCTCAAAAAGTTAGAAAGATCTCAGATTAAGGATCTAATATGCCTAGAGGAGCAAAAAAACAAACAACAAAACCGAAAACAAACCAATCCCAAAGCTAGCAAAAGAAAAGAAAAAAACTAAAATTAGATGGAACTGAATGAATTTGAGACCCAAAAATTTATAGAAAGAATCAATGATGATCAAAGTTTATTTTTTGAATGAATGAACAAGATTTGTAGACTGCTAGCTAGATTAACAAAGACAAATAGAGAGAAGATCTACATAAGCACAGTCAGAAATTATAAAAGTGACATTACAACCAATACCACAGAAATACAAAAGATCCTCAGAAACTACTGAGAACACCTCAGTGCTTACAAAGTAGAAAATATGGAGGAAAATTAAATTCCTGAAATACAAAATCCTCCAAGAATGGATCAGAAAGAAATTGAAACCCTCTATAGACCAATATCGAATTCCTAAACTGAATCAGTAATAAAACACCCAACAACAGCAACAACAAAAAGAGCCTCAGACCAGACAGATTCACAGTCAAATTCTATGAAACATACATAGAAGACCTGCTACCATCCTACTGAAACTATTCCAAAAAATGGAGATGGAGAGGCTTCTCCTTAACTCATTTGACAAAGCCAGCATCCTCCTGATAGAAAAACCTGGTAAACATACAATCAAAAAAATCTTTGACACCAATACCTTTGATAAACATAGATGCAAAAGTCCTCAACAAAATATTAGTAAACTGAATTTAGTGGCACATCAAAAAGTTAATTCACCATGATCAAGAAGGCTTAATTCTTGGAATGTAAGGTTGGCTTAATATACACAAAAATCAATAAATGTGACTTACCACATAAACATAATTAATAACAAAAATTATATGATTATTTCAACAGATGTGAAAAAAGCTTTTGATAAAATAAAACATTCCTTCCTGATAAAAACCCTCAAGAAACTATGCATCAAAGTAACATATCTCATATCTCAAAATAACAAGAGTCATCTAAGTGAAACCACAGACAACATTATACTTGAATGGGCAAAAGCTGAAACCAATCCCCTTGAAACTGTTACAAGGATG